AGTAACTAGCAACCCCTTCAACCCCACCCCAACCCCACCCTACCACGCAAAGACACTCACACCCCATGGTGATTCTTGAAATGGAAGGGGAAGGAGGAGGCAGGCAGTTTGCATTAGACACAGTTTAATCACCTTCCAATAGGTTAAAAGTTCGCATTTACACATCTCCCTCCCCATGAGTCATCCAGACAGGACCCTGGCTTAGAAAGAGAAAAACACAGGTGCTCTAGGAAATATAGCCACGTATAATACATAAATCTTCTTCCCTGAAATAGAGCAGGTCCTGAGCAGAGCTGACTGGGGGGTCGCAGCCCACCCCAGGGTGGAGTGGCTCTGGGACTCTGCCGGTGGAAGTGCTGGAAGAGTGAGGCTTGGCGGAAGCCCTGGTGTGGTTATTAAGCCCAAGGTGGGCCAAGGCCTTGGAGTGGGTCACCCAGGAGGGCAGCAGTGCTGGGCTTTCCCTCCTCACTCAGCCGAGCCCTAATGGAAGTACTAGTTGTCTTTTTTTGTCGTTTTTTTCTTTTTTGAGGGGACATAGGGGGAGAGGAGAGGAAAGGAGGAGAGGAGAGGAGATCCTCTCTGTGCCTTGGTTTCCCCGTTTGTGCATTCAGGGCCTCTGCAGGCCTCACACAGGGAGTCTGGGGGGTAGTGTTTAAGTGAGCACTTGGCCTCCCTCTGAGGAGAGGATCCGCCAGAGTGCAGACTTTTATTATTACTGCCATTCGTGCCCCTAACAGGAGCAAGAGTCAGAAGGAAAACAAATAAAAAGAGGCCGATGAAAAAGGAAAGGAGGAGACATGAGACAGAGTGCAAGGGGCGATGCCACTGGCATCTCATCAATTCGTATTGACAATGGCACTGGTATTAAAAAAAAGTTTCCGGGGAATCTACAAGAAATGTAAATTGTTACCTCTACTGCAATTACTTCCATATCTCTAATCGGAAAAGAGTGGGGCCTGGGAGTTAGAAAGTGGATGGGAGATAAAGGAGTAACTACAAGAATAAATACAAGTGGACGCTACGTGCCCCACTCCTGAAAGGACGTGTGGGCAGTGTTGGCACTTTGTAGCCAGGAGAATCCTTCAGCCCCACTCTCCAGCCTCTTCGGTTCTGAAGGCCCTGAGAATCCAGTTAGGATTCCGTGGCCACAGTCCTCCGTGACCGCCTCTGGGCTCATCTAAGTGGCAGCTGGAGAGGAACCGAGCCAGTCTTCAGAACCTTTCACCCCACAAATGGCCCAACCACCCCAAGCAGGGAGAGCTAAGATCTGGAGGGAAGGAGGGGGAGTCCAAGGAGACTCCGTGGCTGAGGCCGTGGAAAATCAGTGCCAGGGCCCAAGAGACCCATTTGTCCAGTTACCAGAGGTCACTGACATCTTCTGTGACTGCCTTGAGCCCAGAAAAAAAACAACAAAAAAACAACAACAACAACACACACACACAAAAAAAAAAACACTTGCAGCAAGAAAATGCCAGTGTGCAATCGGGTGAATAAAGACCAAAGGAGACCAGCTTGCTTGTTCTCTGTCTCGGGTTTATCTTCGCCCCTTAAATCTCTCACAGCCCTGGTGAAATGCAAACAAAAGTCTCTTCTGTAGATGGGCTACTTCTCAGCTTCAGCCACCTCCCGTGGCGGCTCCGGGGGTTCGGGCGGTGGCATCTCTTCAGGAGTGCTGGTGTCCTCCGGCATCTCGCTTGAGCTCAGATGTTCTGTTAGGGCCTGAGAAGGGAAAGATGTCAAATTCAATACAAAGCCCGTCCCCAAAATCCAAACGGAGATCATCGGGGATGAGACACCGAGCTCTTCCTCCGAACCCGCCGACCACACCGATGCTGCAGGTGCGCAGCCGCCGACACCCGACGCAGAAGCATCGCGTCTTCTTTGCCATCACTATTCAGGATCCTAACGATAGGGCCCCAAATAAGTACGCGGGCCCCTCTCCTCGCAACGGAATGTCCTAACGTACTTGTCTAACAAGGCCTGACCAGCGGCTCTCAATCTTGTTTCTGCCCTAACACTCGGCTCTCCAGAACACGGACTCTGAACCAAAGGCGACGGGGTGGCCACATCTGCAGATGATGCATGTGGTTTGAAAATGCCCGCAGAGTGATTCTAAAATATCAGTCTTCCTCACATTCAACTGAGAATTACTGACCTAAATTGCTATGATTTAAGACCAGGCTTATCAGAAACATGATATTCAAAATGATGATGCCAGCCCGGCCGGGCGTGGCTCAGCGGTTGAGCATCGACCTAGGATCCAGGCGATCGGGGTTCGATTCCCGGTCAGGGCACAGGCCCAGGTTGCAGGCTCCATCCTGTGTGGGGGGGTGCAGGAGGCAGCCGATCAATGACTCTCTCATCATTGATATCTCTCTTTCTTTCTCCCTCTCCCTTCCTCTCTCTGAAATCAATAAAGATATATTTTTAAAAATGATGATGATAATACATTTTTGGGGATACCCTGTATATAAAAATGGGTTTGCTGTAATTCAGAAAATAAACTTCAAAATTTAGGAAAGACAAAGTAGAGAACAATGATCTACCGTACAAAAAGCATTCACTTAAAAGTAAGATTCTCTTTTAAAAGAAAGTTCAAATCTATTAAAAATCTATTATATAGAACTAATAAATTAGTTTAGCCAAGTTTCAGGACATAAGATTGATATACAAAAATCAATTGTATTTCTATATATTCCCAAATAGTAATCCGAAAATAATTTCACATATAATAACATTAAAGTAAAATACTTATAAATAAATGTAATAAAACTATAGAACTTAAACTCTGAAAACTAAAAACATTTTCGAAAGAAATTAAAGGCCTTAATAAATGAAAAGACAGTCCATATTAATGGTTTAGAAGACTTAATCTTTTTAGGACAGCAATACTTCCCAAATTGAGCTATAGATTCGATGCAATCCCCATCAAAATCCCAGCTGGCTTCTTTGCAGAAATTCACAAGCTGATCATAAGTTTCATATGGAAATTCAAGGAACCCAGAATAGCCAAAACAATTGAATAAATAAAGAATAAGGCTGGAAGACTCATACTTCTTAATTTCAAAACTTACTACAACATTATAGTAACCAAGACAGTGGAGTAAGACTGAGAGTCCAGAAACAAACTCTCACATTTACGGTCAATTGATTTTTGACAAGGGTGCCATGACAATTCAACAGAGAAAGAATAGTCTTTTCAACAAATGGTACTGAGACAACTGCATAGCCACATGCAAAAGAAAGAATTTAGACCCTCTTTCTCACACCATATATAAAAATTAACTCAAAATGGATCGAAGACCTAAATGTAAGAGCTAAAACTATAAAACTTTTAGAAGAAAACAGAAGCATAAATCTTCAAGACCCTGGATGAGGCAATGGTCTCTGAGATCTGACCACAAAAGCACAGCAACAACAACGACAAAATGGGGCATCAAAATTTTAACCTTCTAAAGATGCCATCAAAAAAGTGAAAACACAACCCATAGAATGGGAGAAAAAAATTTCAAATCATATATATGATGAGACTTGTGTATAAAATATATAAAGAATTCTTACCACTCAACAATAAAAAACCAAAACCCCCAAACAACCCAAATGGACAAAGGGTCCGAATAGACACTTCTCCAAAGAAGATATACAAATGACCAATATGCTCATGAAAATCTGTTCAACATCATTAGTCACCAGGGAAATGCAAATTAAAACCACAATGAATACTACTTCACACCCACTAGGATGGCTAGAATCAATGTCAGAAAATAAGTGATGTCAAGGATATGGAGAAATTAGAACCCTAATACACTACTGGTGGAAGATGTAAAATGGTGCAGTCTCTTTGGAAAATAGTCCAGCAGTGCCTCAAAAAATTAAACAGAGTTACCGTATGACCCAGCAATTTCATCCCCCAGGTATATAGCTAAAATAAATAAAAACATATAGGTCCCTGCAAAAACTTGCACATGAATGGTCATAGCAGCATTATTCATAATAACCAAAAGGTGGACAGGACTCAAATGTCCACTGATTGATGAATGGATAAGTACAATGTGGTCTGTTCATATAACGAAATATTATTCAGCCATATAAAAGAATGAAGTACTGCTACATGCTACAACATGGATAAAACTTGAAAATATTATGCTGAGAGAAGCCAGTCACAAAGGACCACATATTATATGATTCTATTGTTATGAAATTTTAGAAGAGGCAAATCTATAGCAAAAATAAAAATGTAGATTAGCAGTTGTCCGGAGATGGGGCTGGGGGAACTGGGGGGAAAGGGAGAAGAACTGCTAATGGGTACATGGGTTTTTGAGGGGGGTAATGAAATGTTTTTAAATTAATTACTGACATGACTATATAACTGTAAATATACTACAGACCAGTGAATCATACATTTTAAATAGGGAATTAATGGTTTGTGAATTATATTTCAATAAAGCTATTATAAAAAAAGAAAGTTCAACTAATAAATTTTTAGGAACATGCTTTATAAAGTAGATCTTGAGCAGGACAGCTGGGAGGGTTCCCACACACCTGCATTTCCAGTGAGGAAGCTCATTCTTACCAAGGTAACCATGCCACTAACTCCAAACCACCCCCCAACCCTTATCTTTGCTCCTATGGCATTTCATGCTTCCCTCACCAAGGCACTTTTCATGAAGTGGAGCACCAGCCTGATTTTCTGCTCTCCCGTCCCCACTAGACAATGAACTTCTTGAGAGCAGGGACATGGCTTGCCTTGTTCACCGGCATAACCAGCATCTAGCACAGTGGCTGGCACAGAATATCGAAGGAATGAGTAGATCCTAATCTATACATCAAGGCCACAAAGATCTAAGGCAATGTCAAGGCAGAAGCAGAGACAGGGAAGCTGGAGCGATTGGACACGAAATTGCAGAATTGGATCTCTAAGGTGTAAATTGAGCCTACACCCTCCCTCCATCATCAGCTTAGCCTTAAAGTCTTAAAGTCAGGAACACTTACTGGGCTCTGTGGCAAGAGGCTGCTACTGGTCTCTTGAGTACTAGGAGGTCGACTTCCACTTTCCTCCAGGGGCAAAATACCCCTTCGATCCAGCACGCTGAAGGAGACAGGACAGTTAATAGAGCACTTCACATTCGCCCCTCCAGCCACCTACCCACTGAACCTTGCTGTGTGTACTGGAAAACATAAACCTGCCCTTTGGCAGTCTAGCCCGATCCTAGCACATGCCTCGGGTCTCCCACTCACTTTTTCTTCCACAACCCAGGGAACACCTTAACCAGGGCAAAAACAAATGAAATAAGAACGAAGGGTCATCTCTTCAAAACAATCAGCCCATGGTCTATGGTCCATGTAGATGTGGCCCCAAGGGACAATCCCTGGGCAGACCTATTTGACACCAAGAGGCCACATTCAGAGGAAGGCATGAGACCAGGTAACAGGATCGGGTTGAGTTGCTTGTCCCAAGAGTCCCAGGACCTTCTGGTCCCCTGAGTACCTGGGGGGCAAAGGGCCACACAGCACTTCACAGCAGTTCTTCACAATGTTGCCATGGCTGTAGGGATTCTGGACACGATTCTTCCCTGTCCATGAGCCTTTGATCTGCAAGGTACAAGCCAAGGCTCGTATTAAAACTTATGTTGAAGAAATGCATGCAGCACTGGAAGATGGAAAAGTTCTGGAGATAGATGGTGGCAATGGCCGCATAACAACATGAATGCACTTAATGCCACTAAACTGTATACTTAAAATGGCTAAGATGGTACATTTTATATACTGAATATCTTACCAAAATAGGAAAAAAGGAAATACAATGCATAGCCATGGGAAAATGTCTACAATAAAGTGAAAAAAGCAGATAACTAAACAATATGTATTTATGCTCATTTAAAAATTCAAGACATATAGTCACATAAATAAACATAGGAACAAGTCTAGACAAGTCTAAAAGACTATAAATCATACCATTAACAATGGTGATGTATAGGAGGTAAAGTTATAGGGACTTATTTGCTATTGTTGCTTATCTGTATTGTCATGGATTAACTGGTGACTTTTGAAAAGCAAGGATTTATTCAGTGCACCTGTCCTTGTCCATTCCTAATCCAGAGGCACCAACTAGCCTTTAAAGATCTATGACTAGCCCGGCCGGTGTGGCTCAGCGGTTGAGCATCGACCTAGGATCCAGGAGATCACAGTTTGATTCCCGGTCAGTGCACATGCCCGGGTTGCGGGTTCGATCCCCAGTCGGGGCCGTGCAGGAGGCAACCGATCAGTGACTCTCATCGTCGATGCTTCTATCTCTCTCTCTCCCTCTCCCTTCCTTTCTCTGAAATCAATAAAGATATATATATTTTCTAAATTTACAAAAATAAAGATCTATGACTAGCTGAAGACCTTGTACCTCCCCAACATTCAACCTCTCCTTCCTAATTCCCTACGGGCGTTCAGCTCCAAACAGAGCAGCCTGCTTTCTCTTCCATACTTGACATTTAACAGTCCCCACACCAGGTTTCTTGCCCAGGCCGCCCAGGCCCTGGAGGCTCAGTTCTCTAGCAAGTAACGAGAGAAGAATATGTGACAAGGAGATGGGAAAGTTGACTCACGTCTTCATTGGTTGTCTGGTTGAGAGCCACAAGGAAAGTGTGAAATCCAGTCAGTCCCACGACGGACCAGAGTGTGAAGAAGCAAATGAGCACTTCCAGAACAGTGAGGGGATGTTAAGGAATGCTGAGGCAGCCACACCAGACCACGCTTCAGCCCTGCTCGTGGCACCAGGCATGCCATCGTCACGGCTCAGAACATACATCACAAATGGCCAAGTATCCACATATGACAGAGGCATTCTAAACTCGCTGGGCACATCCCTTATCGCAGGTAAAGGACTCCTGTCTATTCACTATGAATAACCTTCTAACATCTCTAGAGTATTTCAATGTTCCTCTTTGTTTTTTTTCATCATTAGCTTTTGGAAGGGGATGTTTAGGAGGGAGCCAAAGCTAAACAATGTTGGCCATCACTGCCAATGGAAAACCCATCAAAAAGTAAACTTTAGCCCGGCCGGCGTGGCTCAGAGGTTGAGCATCAAACTAGGATCCAGGAGATCGAGGTTCGACTCCTGGTCAGGGCACGTGCTGGGGCTGGGGGCTCCATCCCCAGTCGGGGACATGCAGGAGGCAGCCGATCAATGACTCTCATCATTGATGTTTCTCTCTCTCTCCCTCTCCCCCTTCCTCTCTCGGAAATCAATAAAGACATATTTAAAAATAAATAAATAAACAAACAAATAAACTTTATAGCTTGGCCGGCATGGCAGGAGGTTATCGGTTTAATTCCTGGTCAGGGCACGTACCCAGGTTGTGGGCTCAGTCCTCAGTAGGGGGCATGCAGGAGGCAGCCCATCAATGATTCTCTCATCAGTGATGTTTCTACCTCTCTCTCCCTCTCCCTTCTTCTCTCTGAATCAATAAAAAAAAATCAATCAATAAATCAACTTTATAAATGAAAAATTTATGTGAAAAACAGGATGTGATTTAGGGAAATCCCATCTGAATCTCCTTTTCAGAAATGCAACTGCTGAGCAAAATAAGCCTTAGCTGTGACAGGAAGGTGGCCTTCCAGCAAGTGACACAAGAGGAATACTGAAGCAAAGACAGCCCATCAGAGGAGGCAGGGCTGAGCGTGGGATCAGAAGGAATTGAAAGGGAGGCAGTAGAGAAGGGGGTAAAGGAAAGGGTACTCTTTAAGTCCTGGTCACCTTCCGTTTTGGTTACTACTACTAAGACTACATATTTACTTTAGAATTTGGCAATCTTGATGTCTGAAAAATGAGAGGATGGGAGAGCTACAGAAAGAAAGCATGCCGGAAATATAAGTTAAGAGGGATTCACAGGGACATACTGCCAGGGCAGGATATGTTCCAGGAGTTTCTTTCAACGTCTCCAGGAAGCCAATTTTCAAGGATTCTATGAAATTGAGAGGAGCAGTAGAGAAAAAAATTAGTGACATTAATTAAAAAATGCACTTATCCTAGTACTTACTCACATCCTTTCCTCCCTATCCCTTGTTACAAGCTGGCAAGAGATAAGCCCTCATTCAGACAAGGGACTTGCACCCCCAAGCAGGTAGTCTCCTGACCAAAGGGTTCACATCTCCATTGCAGGACTCGGCACTGGTCTAGAGAGTCAGGCAGAAGCCAAGCATCTGGATCCTCTCCCTTTTCTCTAACCCCCAACTATGAGCATGGAGGGGGATATTCATTCATAGATAAAATAAATCGGAAACATCAAAAAGCCCCTCTCTCCTCACCAATCTGTGTCCTCCCTTGTTCAAAATCCAGCTGAGAAGTCATCTCTTCCCAGTAAGTTGTCTTGATCAAGACCACTCCTTTAATTTCACATTCCACCTGCCCGTATTTATCTGCTGATGTATGTGTGTGTGTGTGTGTGTGCACATGTGGGTGTATATTTTCTATCTCCCAAAGGAAGCCATTGGTATTTCTCTGGTATAACCCCTTCTACCACCTGGCACAGGGCAGGTCTTATTAGGCAGAAGAAGAGAGGATACAGACAGCCAAAATACATCCCCGACCTTTCGGATCACCTCAGAAATGCCCAGGACTCTAGATATAGACCAGTTATTATGGCCCAGCCCCCAGCAGAGAGCCACTGAGAAGGCAACTCCCTCGGTAAATACTGATTGATGCGAGCTGAGGGCAGACAGGAGCGCTCATTTCTAACCGGTCCTAAGGCGCCTTCGCAATGGTCAAGTCCCACCGGGAACCCCAGCCCTCCCCTAAGCCGTCCCCAAGTCTTCTCCCATGCCACCCCCACTCCACCAGGCACTGCCCTACATACTCACTGAGGGCCACGTAGACGATGTTGAAGGCGAAGACGTAGATGGTGAGGAGGGAGAGCGAAAGGATGAAGAGGTAGAAGTAGCGGTAGTTCCTCTTTCCAACACAGTTCCCCACCCAGGGGCAGTGGTGGTCGAAGCGCTCTGCGGGGAAGAGAGAGAACCTGGTGCCAAAGCCTCCAAAACGCAGTGCAACCCCGCCATCCACATCTCAACAACTAATTCAAAGACGCCGGGATCACTGCCTGTTTCAATGGTAAAAAACTGCTTTCCATTTTTCACTTCTTCACACTGTTTCCATAGCTAGCTCATTTGATCCCCACAATCACCCTGGAAGTTGAGCAACAGAAGATATGCTTTTCCCCATTTTACTGATGACGAAACTAAGGAATTGAGGGGCTGAGTGATCTGTCTCACTGCCAGTTAACAGCAGAGACTTTGCTTTTCCAAAGAAAAATATTAGTAGGTGGGCCTACTAAGTTCAGGAAGAATAAATAGGTGAAAATAGCCAAACAAATTTTGAAAAATGAGTAGTGTGGGTTTTCTTAACTGCCAGTTAGTAAAAGACTATAAAACTACAATACTTAAAATGGTATGGCATAGCTTAAAATGGAAGGTGCCCAGAAACACTCTAGAATATATAAGAATTTACTAATAAAGGTAGCATTACAAAATCAGTGGTGAAAAGAAGTACTTTTCCATAAACAACTCTGAGATAACTGGCTATTTGGTGGAAAATAAAGTTAAATGTTTTCCCTCACACTACTTATCAAAATTAATTCCAGATGAATTAAAGAGTTAAATGTAAAAACAAAATGAAACCATAAGATAACCATAAAGAATAGATGAACATTTGTCCTGTATATGGGTGACTTTCTAAACATAGAAGTAATGGGGGGAAAACACAGATGACAAAGAAAAATAGATTTAACTCCTTAAACTTTAAAAAACATTTTATATATGTAAAAAATACTATAAAGAAAGTTAAAGAGGAAAACCCCCCAACAAGAATGTATGTAAATTTTGTATCTTAATATATAAAAAATCCTTACAAATCAATAACAAAATGCAAATGCTCTCTCAAGATAATAGTCAAAAGGCAAAAACAGTTAATAAATACCATATACATATATGTTTAAATGTTTTCAGAGTTAACAATAATTCAGTGCATTACCAGTATAACAATGAGGTACTTTTTGCCTATCAAAATAAGAACATAAAAATATCCAGTGCTAGTGAGAATAGGGTAAAATGGACACTCTAATATATTGTTTGTGGGAGCATAAATTTCAAGAACCTTTCTGGAAAGCAATTTAGCAGTATGTATCAAGAGCCTTAATAATGCTCACACCCCTTTAGCACAATAAGTCCATTTTCAGTAATTTCTCATAAGGAAATAAAGATATGCACAAAAACTTATGCTCAAAAATTTCTTAATAAATTTTTATTGTGGTAAAATATATATAACATACAATTTGCCATTTTAATCATTTTAAGTGTACAATTAAGTGGCATTAATTACATTCACAATGTGCAACCATCACCACTACCTAGTTCTGAAAATTTTCATCACCCCCAAAAAGAAACTCTGTACTCATAAACAGTAATTTTCCATTTTCTTCTTCCTCCAACCCTGGTAATCTCTTATTATCTTTATGAATTTTCCTACTTTAGATATTTCATATAAGTAGAATTGCACAATATGTGGCATTATATATATATATA